GGGTCAGAACGCTTGGGCGGCGCTCGGCGGCCGCCGGGACGGTTCCCTGTGCGCGAGGGGGCCGGCGTGCCTGGGTCACCGCGTCCTGGCGAGGCGCTCCCGGAGACGGCGTGTCGGGAGGCTCGAGCGCGGCGGTCGCACCGTGGAGGACGGCGCAGCACAAGGTCTTCCTCCTCAGGAGAGCCTTTCTCTCAGTTCTCAGCCAAACGCTGGAGCCCTGCAGCTCCAGCGCTGTTTTGTTCAGCATTTGCTTTGCTTCCTGCGGCTTGAGAAGCTGTTCATGCTAATGATGCTGTTGTCTTCCTGGTACAGCCCGGCCCCGGGGGACGAGGAAGGCAAGGGACAGAACTTGCTTGGAGTTTGAAACCTCGTTAAAACGCCTCCACCAGCCGTGTCTGGCAGTGAGGCAACCGTTTCTGCTTTACAATGATCAGCTTGGAATACCGCTGGTTTGGGTTTTCTTGTCATAAATTGCGTAAGCAGAATCCCAAGCCTCACTGCCTATGTAAAATGGTGATAGAAACCCTCAACTAGAAATCGCTCTCCATGTCATGCACCTGCTCTCACTTTACAGCTACATTTTGGTTAGTAAGTCTCGATTTATCCTGATATTCCACGTCATGCTGGTGAATCGTCAACATTTCCCTTTAGTAGTAAAAATACCTGCCAACCTCTCTGGCACCTTAATGAAGGTGAAGGACCTGCAGTCTGTCCCCTTGCTTAAGGCAGAGGATAAGGTTTTTGTGAAAACTGGGATTTGAAACTATTCCTGTGTTGCTACCTCACTTGAATTTCCAGCTTTTGTTGCTTAGGTATTTTAAAGACAGTGTCTTTCTACTCCAGGAAGTCATTTTACTTTGTGCGGCTTATAGGACATTTTATTTTACAAGTACATGTAACAGCGTGCTTATGCAGCCCAAATTTTACCCTTTTGTGACTGTCGTGCTGAGTGAGGCAGTGTGTGATCATGTAATTAAGGATGGTGTCATAACGCATATGTCCAAGGGAGCAAAACTGAAGTCGGTTTGGGAGCAGATGTCCTGTTCCCAACTTGAGGCTCTGGATACAGAGCGCTGCGTGGCGTTTCCTGAGCCTGCTGTGACCTTGCGCCGTCTTCACCC